TCTCTCTCTCTCTTTCTCCCTGCTAAGTCCATTTAGAGCTACCCTTAGTACATGGATGTGGGGACTCCAGCTCGAGCATGGGGATATGTGGCCATATCTTCAAAAAGAATGATTCTCTAACCCTTAGAAACTATCAACATCCAGGAATTCCTCATTGTGGGATGGAGCCTGGACATCATCTCCATCTATGCGGCCAGTTTGGCTGGCCTGATCTTATGTGGGTCTTATGCAAGCAACTATGGCTGCTGTGAATTCATGAGTATGACAGCCACACCGTATTCAGAAGCCGGGATTTCACTGTACTTCTCCCCATCCTCTGGCTCCATCCTCTGGCTCTTAAATACTTTCTGCCTCCTCTTCGGTAATGACCTGTTTGGGACTGAGCACTCAGTTCTTGTTATCAGTTCTTTGACAGTTGACTGCTGCCCACTGCCAAAGGAAGCTTCTCTGACCACAGTTGAGAGCAGCCCAGGTCTATGGGTATAAACACAAATGTTTAGGAGATGATTTGATCATTTAGCAAAATAAAAATGTCAGGTTCTGCCCTAGGGCCTATAAACTCCCCAGCCATAGGCCTTTGACCAGGATTACAGTCCCAGGGATGAAAGTCCCTCCTACAGAGCAGGCCTCAACCTCAGTGACAAAGTGTTTATCTGTCCCACAGTCATGCCACTGTCCCACCTGTGGGCATTTCTTGGGTGGCAGCTAAGTATTGCAGCACGCAGTGTCCAGAGCTGGCCTCTCGGACCACTGGTGTTTTTTCTCTCCCAGAAGCCTACATAACACTTCCAGCACTAGAAAAGCTACCCAGCAGGGAGAAACTTTCCTTTTGGTTTAAGAATGACATTTCTATGTCCAACAGCCAAAGTATGTGGTGTCTTTAGCAACTAAGGTGGGTAACCAAGAGCAATGGCAAATACTTTGTTTTGTTTTGGAGACCCCTGGGACCTTCCTGACCAATAACTCAATTTCCATTAATTAACCCATGCCTTTTAGGGGTGACATTGTCTACCTATGCAGGATGATTTTATTTGAACTTTTTTCTTTTCCTTTTTTTTGGTTATATTTTGAAATTAGCTTATTAACTGGTGGGTAACCATAAAGCTTCTTCATACAGTTTTCATTTTGGTTAATCCATCTACAGCCTTTTCCTCACACTCATCCTCTGCCCATACCCCTACTTAATCCTTTAACTCCTAGTAATCCCCCTTCTTCTTTCATTTTACATGTATTTTATTGTCCCTGTAATTATTATTTCTAATTGGGTTGTGAGATGTGGATTAAATCCATATGGACTGCCACAATTCTTCCTTTGGATTATCCCTCTCCTCTGCCTCTGGCATCCCACACCCTCCTGCACCCTTTCCTGTTCAGTCTTTCTGTCCTCCAAATGTGGAATGCTTGATGAGTTCACATGTGTCCTTGTGGAGAGGCCATGCTCCTCTTCTCTGTATTGTCCCAATGGTAGCATACATGCTGCTGAAGCAAACACGTGAGTTAGATTGTTGAGGTTAACAGAAATGCAATGTTAAAACAAATATAATTAATACATTAAAGACTGTAAATTGAAAACAGAGACTGCCACGAGAAAATTAGAATCTACAAGAACATAAAAAAGGAAAATGCAGAGATAAAAGGATTAAAAAGTCAAGAGATGAGCTTAGCTGCGAGTGTGGCAACAGGAGGGAGAATTAGGGAGCAAATTGAGGTAAGGGGCAATGTTATAACTGAAGGCCTGAGAGGAAAAGGGACCAAAATACAGATGGAAGCAAGGGGTGTGCATCGAACTCGGTTTGATGGGTAGGTCGAACTTACAGTGGGTAAGTTCCCACTGTACATCTAATTGAAGTTGTAGAAGAGGCTAGGGAAAATGAAGGAAAGGAAACATTTGAAGACCCATTGGTAAAACAACCTTTGAAACTAGTGAAGTTTATCCAACTGCAGATTCATGAAACTCTACAAAACCCAAATGGGACAAACTGTGTGTGTCTGTGTCTGTGTGTGCATGTACTTTATGTTTCCTCCAAACAGTGCAAAAATCTATGCACTCTTTTTCAGTCTCACAAAGAACATTTGTCTAAATAAGCTGTGTCCTGGGTCATAAAGAGAATGCTGAAAATATCAGATGACCAAAACCACACAGGATCCTCCGACCATAGAAGTAAGTGACACATACGTATCATACAATGTCAAAGTCACATCCAGATTCATAAACTACAAACTCAAAAGCAAAGATGTCCTATTATATCTGATTTGGATGACTCACTCCCTGGAAATAGAATGGGAAATGAAAGGTAATAACTCGATAGAGGAACTGAAGCCTGCCAAATAACCAAGGATTCAAGGCGAACACCTCTAAGAATGAGTCACATGGGTATTGCACAACCCCAATGAGAACTCTGAAATATTCATGTAAAACAGCTTTAATTCCCACTTAATCATGCAGTCCCATAAACTCAAATTGAGGAGAATTCTACAAAATACTTGCCTGATAATTCTTAAAATTGTCATGAAAACCAAGAAAAGGCTGAAAATGGTGAACCAAAGATGATTAATGAGAAATAATGACTAAATATGATGTGGTACCCTGGTTGGGATTAAGGAAGAGAAAAAGGATACAATAGTAGAAAAATTAGAGAAATCCAAATCATGCCTGGTCTAGTTATTAATATACCAATATAAGTTTATAAGGTTTCCTTTTAAAATTTATTCATATTTGAAAATTTCATACCTGTATAAAAGGTTTTTTATTACATCCAACCCCTCATTCTCTCTCCTCCTATTCTTCCCAGACCCCCTTATTGTCCTTCCAAATTCCTGTCCTCTTAATTTTTTTTGTAACTTATGGAGTCCAATATGGTGTCCATATGCCCATGGGTGTATTACCATCCCTTGGAACATGGACAGCCCACCAGGGAGTCATAGTCCTGAGAAAAATGATCTCAACCTCTAGCAGCCATTTAATATCAATAGCTCTTCAGTTATGAGTGGGACCCTGGGAGCCCATCCTCACATTGGAATGTTGACTGGCTTGATTTTGTGCAGGTCTTGTGCAGGCTACTACAGCTGCAGGAAATTTGTAGATAAAATGGCCCTATCGTGTGCAGGAGACTGCATCCCAACAGCTAGGTTTCTAGGTCTTGGTAAGTGCTCTGGTTTGAATTTGAAATGTCTGTGCCGCATTCCCTATGGCCGTGCTCATGGGCAAGGCAGTGTTATTTGGGACAGGAGTGGAAGCTGCAGGCAGGGCCTAGCTGGAGGAAGTAGGTCACTAGGGAAAGGTCTTTGAAGGGCACCCTGTCTGTGGCCCCTGCTGGTGTTAGGAGCTTGTGCTACCATGCTCATGCTGGCATGACAAGCACATTAGTGACCAAGCTCCCACCCCAACCCCACTTAAAAAAAGTTAATGTACAACGCATTTGAAAGGGTAAGTCTGGAGGGCACCCCTCAAGAGATTTTGCTAAGACGAACACCCTGCTATTCCCCAGTGAGACAGAGACACAGAGCAGCTCCGGCACCACTTGAGGCTCCTTCTTGTCTCTTCCAGTCATGGTGCTCCTGACAGGGAAAGCACTCTACGAAACCTTCACCACCACTGATTAGCTCATCCACTCTTGAAATTCACAGAAATAGAACCATGAAGTGTTTATGATTTTCTATCCAGATTTTCCTCTTAACTTCGGGCCTGTGAGATCCATTCATATTTTGTTACAGTAATTTCTTTTTTTCCCATATATATATACATACATACATACATACATATATATATATATATATATATATTATATAATGTATTGTTGCATGCCTAGTCACGCTTCTTTGCTTTGTGGCCATTGGGGTTGTTCCAGTTTGGGACTATCATAGAAAGATAATGACTATTTTTGGTCTTGCCTTATTCTTAACATACATGCACTCTTACCATGGAATTTTGGCTAGTAAGAATTTCTGTCTAGTTTTAGTAACTATTGCCACTGCTATGCTGAGTTTCAATACAAGGATATTTTATTAAATTGCATGCCCATTACAGTGTCCAGTCACTCAACAGCTTGGTAGTCTCTCCTTCTCTAGTCATGATGCTGAGATGTATAGTAATAATCTATGGAAACTTTAATCTGCATTATTTCCTTGGGAGTCCTGTAGCTCAGTCTGGTCCTTCTACATCCACTGCCTTAGGGCTGGAATCACAGATGTTAATCAATATATCTGGATTCATAACTCCTCTTTTTTTTTTTTTAGGCTTTAAGAAACATTTGGGGAAATAATATCAGATTTAAAGAAAAAGCATAAAATAATTCAGGATATTCATGTATACTCCTCACCAACTTTTGTGCAGTGTTAGCATTTTATGTAACCATAACATAAGCAAGTCCTCCAAAAAGCAGGATTTCAATACCAAATCACATTTTACCCTGATACGTTATAAAAACTGTACCCTAGTAGTTGTGGGGAAGTTCTGTATGCCTTACCCACAGAAAACCCAGCTAATACACAGTAAGAGATGACAGTTTAGTGTGGACTACTTTGATAAGAAATTAATTTGTCTTCTGTGCTTTGAGATTTATTTATTTATTTGCTGCATGAATGGATCCAGGGAGAGCAGTCATAATTATTGTGCCAACTAAGGCCAAGTTGAGCAGTAGAGTCTCCTGAAGTTCTCATATTTTGAAATGCAGAGAGAAAGGTTTGAATCCCTAATAAGGCTTTTTACAGAAACTTGGGGAATTTCATAATCACAGCAAGCTAAGTATGTTTGATATAACTCTTTAATTTTCAAAACCTCACAACACTGAGAAATAATCTTGCTATCTCGCCACTTCACATATGTAGAAACTCAAGTCTAGAGAGAATAGATTTCTGTCAAAGATTCTGTGTGTATAAGCAGAGAGGCTACAATTAAAACTTAGACTTAGCCAACCCTAGATCCTATGTTTTGATTCATCATATCGACGACATTGGTATTTCTGAAAGTATGAATCACATGATACCTGCATCCAAATTATGATCTTGTTTTATCCAGGTTCCCAGACGCCCAAGGTGGAGAGTCTCTGAACCTGAAGCCCATGAGTCCCACTTTTAAAGGACTTGATGAGTGAAAGCCACTCTGCTTCGAGCATTTTGGATGCATCCCACCAACACAGCACTTACCCACACGTGAACTAACAACACCCCTACCCAGAGCGTGTGCCCTGAGTGTGGCTCACACTAACCCCCTCCCATTCATGACTTTTTCACCAGAGGTTTTCAACACTATAGCTTCCATTCCCAACCACTTGCTAGCTATTGATGTAATGAAATATACACAAAACAAGCATCGGATTGGATGACCTTTGTGACTCTCAGGAAGAGTGCATGCCTATTGCCTTTCCATGACTTTCTGAATATTAATCGACAGTAAATTCACCAGAAGGAATAATTTCCTGCCTACACGGTTTTCTATATGGAATCTCTCAAGACTGTTGGAAAAGACAAATATGGCACAGCATACATTTGTTTTTAAATTGTAAGTCTGCAGACAAAATGTGATGGGGAAATAATCAAATAATATGTAATAGCTGTTTTCTGCCACCCTGAAAGAAATTATTTTTAAAATGGTTCCTTCCTCTCAGTCTTACTTTCTTGAAAAAAAAAAAGAGAGAAAGAGACACTAGCTAAAAGGATACACAGAGGTTATTAACACTTCCATTTTGCATGCCCTTGTTTTTGGAGGAAAAGATCCATTACTGCGGCTTGAAAATGTCCTCGTGGTCCGAGGAAAGAGAAGCAGCAGTAATTACCAGTACCTGCTGCAAAGCCGCCTCTTCTGTTTCGTATTATGATCTTGGTGAGCTCCTTCCATATCTCTCTTCAGCTTCTTCCTCCCTAAGTATGAGAATAATGGAGCCCACTTCATGAGACTCAGAATGAAATAATGTGTGATGGCTAACCTGGTGCCAGGGTCATGGCAAGCATGGAAAAGAAGCGATGCCTGCAGGTGTTAGCGCCTGTCTCTGCCTGTGTTTGGAAGAACAGTCTCTTTCGATAGAACATAAATACACACTACACCATTCCAAATTCTATCTGTTCAGGAACTGTTGAATAAAAACAGAAAGAGTCCAATTAGCAACCATTGAAGATGTGTGTGTTTTCACGAGTTTTGCTGTTCCAGGGGTAGGCTCCCCAGAACAGCTTCCTGACTTTCCCAGCTTCATTTGTTGTGGAGATTTTTTGGTCTTTTCACCAGAGATAGCTTGGAATGTGTGCTGGCTAATTTTATGTCAACTTGACACATACTGAAGCCATCTGAGAGAAAAAAAAACCCAATTGAGAAAATGTCTTTGTAAGAGGTCCCAGCTCGATCAGGAACAGAGTGGGAGAACAAGGAAAGAGAGACCATGATAAATGAGGATCCCAGGGAACAGGAAAAAGCAGAATGCTAGAGAGGTCCCCAGAAATCTACAGATACCTCCACAATAGACTACTGGCAATGGTCAAGAGAAAGCCTGAGCTGA